AATATGCCAGTTCTCAAATGTGATGACTGCTGCTAATGAGGATACAAGTAATCCCATCAGCTTGATCCTTGGAATTCTCTTTTGCTTCACATAAAACCTTCATTCATAATTCATCATAATCTCTGCAATTGCAATATAAGAGCCTATTAACTCACTTTTGTTATTGAATTTTGACTCACTTTAGTTCAAATAATGAGCACCTGTGTTATTCGTTGCTTCCCATCTCAATCTGCATCCCAATGTCTACTAATTCTGAAATTTAAGTTAAAGATAATTATCAGAAAATAAATGTTATTCTACTCAAAATACCAGTTTAAGAAGAAAAGTGCACAAATAAATAAGATATATAAACATTATTAAAGTTTATTTGAACTCTTAAATTATTCAGAAGGACTTATTTTTGGTAGGTTTTTTTTTCTGTTGTGATTTCCAAATGAAGTTTAATAACTGCGCTTTCAGAACCTGACTGGCTGAGGTAATCAGCTTTCTCCATCTGCCAAACTGTTCACACACTGAATATGATACATAAGTCAGTCTCATAGTTGGCTTTAATGCATGGGGGTCAGTGTTCAGGACTGAAACTTAACATGTGGGTACTTATTACTTAGGTTTCTCTAATCTCTTAAGACTGTACTACCAACACTAGTTATCAGGCAGTTCCAACGTTGCACATATTTTACAAAAAATAGCAAGATCACAAGTTCAGTTTGTGGCAAAAGCTTGTGGTGCTTTTGTAGGAGGCATGGTGCTAACACACTTGTTCCGATGAAGTGTTAACAAAGGAATGACTGTGAAAAGGTATTGGCACTAAATATCCATTTTGCAGTACAGCACTATGGTTTGTTTGATCTTCCCTTTAGAGTATGGTCACTGCATCTCAGATTGTCCTGTACTGTTTGCCTGTCCTAGATCATGACCTGAATGTTCACATTCCATCCTTATCAGCCAAGCACCAGACCTACAGTCAATGAATTATTTGCAGTAGCGGCATTTTGACAGGACCATCGTTCTGCTCCCATTCTGTAGATTTATCTGTCAGTCACAGGTGCTGGGAGGCCCCTGTTGGTTAGTTCTTTAAAAAAAGCTGGAGCAGTGCTCTAGAAAGGCCTATTGTAATCATTCACTCCAAGGTGATAGTGAGTTTGGTCTGATTTTGAGGGAAATTGTGACACTTCTCTTTTATATTTATTTAGGATGAATTTCGGATTTATTCTCGTAAGACTGTGACATGGATCTCTGTGTCTGCACTTATCAGAAGTAGGTCAGATTATCCAGCCACTGCTGAGGAAGACTCAATCTTCAGCAAAGCCATAATGAAGACAAGTTTGCAAGTAAGTTAAGTATTCTCAGCAGCATCTGGGAGATGATAGCAAATCTCAGATACGCTTCATGGAGTGCAAGTGAGCTGTGAAACCTATCCAGCTAAGAAACTTGCAGCTTGATGAACACAGTGAGCTGTGGAAAAACAAGCTGGGGATTTTGGAGAACTGTACTCACCTGTGTACAAAATCCTCTCTTACTCCAAGGCAGGTTATGAAAAAAGAATCCTCACTGCTCCTGAAAGGAGACCTATATTTTAAGTAGGAGAGCTTCAAGACACTGGGGTTGGCAGTGACGAATCAGAGTTTGAAATAAAAAACTCATTCCTGGCACAGGAATCAAGGAACTTATGGGTGGCTCTGTATCTGAAGGGAAACTGTGAGGAACCAAACATCACAGCGCCCCCAGTGACGTGAAAACAGGGATGAAGGCAGCTTAGGGGGAATAGAACCAAAAAGTGCCTAGGCAGAGCTGTGTCGGTATTTCCAGGAATGCTTCATCAAGGAGGGTCTGAAACACATTTTGGTTTCTTGCCTTTGTATGTACCAATTTGTGCTTTAAAGTACATTTGCTGGAGTCAGGTATTGCACTGTTGACTGTTTCTGCAAAAATGTATCCTGGTCTCTGCCAGTTCCATAGCTTTAAGATCCCAGTGAGGCACTGGGGAGAAGGTAGATGATTAATTGGTCCAAGCAGATCACAAGGTCCCTCATGAGTTGAGTAAATATAATTATCCCCATTTTAGAACAAGTACCAGACAGTTCAGTTACATGTCTTGCTTAGCATTACACCTTTAATTGGTGTGAGCAATAAGAATACAGTGGCACACTTGCTAATATCTGGCTCTTAGAATCATAGAATCATAGAATTGTTGAGGTTGCAAGGGACCTTTAAGATCATCAAGTCCAACCCTATCTTAATTATAGATACAATATCGCTGCACCAGGGAATGTATAAAAGTGCTATTTTCCCTTCCAGGAAATAGATTTCTAACTTATTAGCATTTATTTTTATATCCATAGCAATTTTTAGTAGATATTTTCATTGTAAACCTAACTTTAGCAGAGCAAAGCTGTTGCTATTACTGCTGTTTTGTGTGGGCATATATTAATGTACATAAGAAAGTTTAGTGCCAGCTAGTTTAATCAACTAGCACGGTATGAAAGTGAGTACTGATTTGTAACATTCTTTAGAGGATCAAATTAGTAACATAAAAAAGCCCAATATAGCCTCAAATAATAGGCCCTTTGAACACCACTTTCATATCAATCAAAACATCTAGATAGAAAAGAGCAAATTTCAAAGCAGCAAATAGCAAACAGTTTAATCCTTCACTAGCAATTCAAAAGCCCCTACTTGTAAGTCAATTGTAAAACCTTTTTTGCCGTTTAACCTGCCTAAGACCACAGAGTAATATGTAGTGCCCAAGAGCTGTCCAAGGACCTGTTCCAGCAGCAAGTTGAGTCCCTCATTTCCCACTCCAGTTTTTAGCATTGCAAATACTGCAGCTTCTATTGCATGAAATCCTAACTACAGACCTCTTGTTAGGTTAATGACTGTGGTTATAGCTCCGTTTTGAGTCAATGTATGAGTTGGGTATAGATTTCATTGGCCTATAATAATACTTATGGCACTGGGTAGGGAGAGTCCCCTAGAGCTGATTTCCTTATTACTTATGTGTATAGCCTTGCCTTCTTCCAGCCGATATGAAGCGCCATTATCTCTAATAGGCTTTGTTATTGTTGCGCAGGACAGGACAGACTCCTTTTGCAAGTTATAAATGGAAGAATGTGTTCCTAGTGGATAACTGCTCTGCAAGGGCTTAGCATTAGTGACTCAGGAAGTATCCTGGGATGGCCTTTCTTCTCTGTTGACATATCTATTCAGGTGAAGGACTCGGCACCATGCCTGCAAACTGCCCAAAGCCTCCTGCTTTCCTCAAAGCCAGACAGAAGATAAGGGAGCTGTTGACTGAAGGCAGGCTTTGACAACTGCCTGTGTACCCACCACTGCATCAGCGATCTCTTCCCTTCATATCGTGAAACGAGAGTGAGGACTGTATTCCTTGCTTCACAAAATGTGGAGAGAAGAATGCTGCTTTGTACTTCCTTGACCTAAAGATCTGTAAAGCTTGCTGGAACCTGCAGTGAGGTCAGGATCTCACTCTGTAAGATAACTAGGGAGACAGTAAATGCAGTCCTGTCTTCTCTCCCTCCCTGCCCCCCATATAAATTGCTTTATCTGTGCTTGACCGCAGTGAGGATGCCTAGCTGAGATCTGTAAGCAGGCCTGGGAGTATTTTTGTTTGCTGTGTTGCATATATTGTTGTCCCTGTTGTGTTTTGCAGGTGAAAAGTATCCAAGTACAAAAAATCCGCTATGTCTGGAATATCTATGCAAAAGAGTTCCAGAAAGTCGGGTGAGTTCAATACCCTCGTTACACAAGTGTCTGAGGAAGTCAAGCTTCTTTGTGAATAACATCCTAAGGAAACTACTCCTTTGTATTTTAGAGTCCTAGAAGACCACCACACTTGCTCAGCTATACATGCCAAATTTGGTTCTGGTCTCACCTGCAATGAACAGAATGTCAGGTACACATTTTAAAACTCAAATACTCAACATATGGATTTCAGAGAGATGTAAGTTCACTGTTGTTGGTGCACTTTCCTTGAGTTTCTTGTGTATCCATTATATGCACATAATTTTAGATGAAATGGTCATGCATGAAAAATTGAATGAAAAGGGCTAGAGAGTGTTGTGTATTCCTTGTCAAAGTTTTTTAAATGTCTCAGTATTCATCACTGTTATTGTTCTCAATCAGGAAATGACTATGTTGCTTAAAAGGCTGTGTTACACCTCTTGTCTAAGTAGATCTCACTGGTATAGTCATCTTTTCTGACATAAGCACTGTGTGGACATTTAACGTTTTAGCTTTTCCTTGGAGAAAGATCCTCACAGCCTATTTAAGCTGGGATTGATACAAGCTCTCAGGACTACTGAAAGCTGCAACTTCTTGAGTGAGCTACATTGTTACTATTTTATCTATAAGGGATGTATCTTTATCCCATACAGGAGAGTTATATGTGGGCCAAACACTATTGATGTTCCAGTGATCCCTGTTTGGAAACTACTCATCAAAGAGGTTAAGCATTTCTGTTGCTTTTATTCTAGGCTACTTGGGGAGGTAGAGTCGGTGTGTATAGAATATAATGGATCCTATGTCCGAATTAGCTTTCCAGTACTCACTCATCAAGCACACTCCCTTTTCAAATCCTATTTAAAGCTGTTCCGTGAGACCACCATAAATTCGTTTATTTCCATGGTTCCCTGTCTTCCATCCTCATGCCTGTATGGCTGCTTGGTGTTTGTACGTATCTGTGTCTTGGAAGCTCATTCTGTTGGCCTTACAAGTGTCAGTGAATGTTTACAAGCTCAATTGGAAATCAAACCTTCCAGGCAAAAGCTGTCTCTTAATGAGCAGAGATTAAGTGAACAGCAGTAGCTGGTGCATGCCTACAGCAGCAGAGAGATCCAATGAGCTCATGACTCTGGGCACAGCACCAATATCTTCTTCAGACACGGACTGGCTATATGTGGCCTAAACAGTGTTTGTGGAGATGTGCCTATGATGTCCATCCTCATGGCACAACCTGCTCTTCTCTCACTTTTGTTACATTTCTTGTAAAGAAGCAAGCAAAACAAGGCTTGGGCTGAGCCATTCACATCCCAAATAACATCCTATCGATCCAGATTATTTGGCCCTTCTATCAGATGGAAATGGTCCAATCTGATTAGACTGAGGCTACTGCTAACAAAAGTAGAAAGGGGGTTGGGAGACACAACAGTTAACTCAATAGCTTTTATTCCAGCCCATTTCTAACAGGATGGACTGGGTGAGTATACTGTGGCAATTTAAAAGTCGCCAGCTCTTGAGTATTACTTTCTCTCCAAACAGGTCTTAAATCCATTTTACGTGTTCCAGCTATTCAGTGTGTGTCTGTGGTTTGCTGAAGATTACATGGAGTATGCCACTGCCATCATAATCATGTCTCTCCTCTCGATTTTTTTGACTGTATATGATCTTAGACAGGTGAGACACCTCATCTTTTTCCACAGGGAAGATTTATTTCTAATGTCTGGGAAAGGCCAGGATATTACAACATGCACATGTACAGTGTTATGAGAGTTACTCAGAGATTTAGTCTCATGACATTGTGTAGTAGCAGGTGCAATGGCCTGGCCTCCTAGTCATCCTAATCTCTGTGTGGTTCTTTACCCACATCCTCCCTTCCCCATTCCAGTGCTTTGCTTTGTAACTTTTTGTTACACCTTCTCCATAATTAGGGTGGGGAGTTTCTTTCTCTGTATGATTGTACAGTTTCTGGCAGGTCCAGAGTCCAGTTTATGAGGGCTCTCATAACCACAAATAACAAAAGGGAATAATTGTTAGTGGATGAATTGCATCATGTAAATAAGATGTAACACTTTTGTGTGTTCTCCTTTAATTTACAGCAATCGATTAAACTGCACAGACTGGTTGAGTCTCATAACAACATCATGGTCACTGTCTGCAGAAGTACGGAAGGTGACTCCTGTACACTTCTTTCTTCAGTGTGTTTTGTTTCTATAGCAATTTATATCAAAATCGAGAATGTATAGTATTGAATTCCTTCTAGAGCAGTTTCCTCTTCTGTCTCTCAGCTCAATTAACTAGCTTCTGCAAATTGGGTTAATTTGATCTAAACTATATTGTAGCACATCAAACATATTCATAACTGTATGAACACAGCCTTAGCAAAAAATTGTCAGGAAAACATCGTCATTTTTCTTAAGGCAGTGCTGAGAAAGCCAGACACACAGCCATTAAATGGCTGTGAGTCCATCAAATTGCTCCATGCAAATTCTGTTCATTGCCATGGTATTTAGAGCACAATCCAAAAACATGAAGTCAAACTAAGAAATGTAGATCCGAGCTTCTTCACTTAGGTCAGCACATTGGAACAATAACCATTGGTTGGGCTCCTGGGGAGATAAGAAGGACTTCTGCAGTTCAAACTGATGCCTAGGCTTTTCTAAATATTGGAGGTTGTATTCTTAGGTCCTACTTGTGGTCCTTTGTTTATCAGCCGTTATAAAGAAGTAACAATTTATTCAGCAGGTAGTTCCTTGTATTTTTGCTCCTTATCACAAAGAAATATATGAAGCACAAAGTTTGCATTACCTGTCACCTACAGGTTTCCAAGAGCTGGAATCACACCATCTTGTTCCTGGAGATACGCTGGTTTTGAAAGAGGGCAAAACCCTTTTGCCTTGTGATGCGATCCTGATCAGCGGGCAGTGCATTGTAAATGAAAGCATGCTGACAGGTACAGCTCATCCCTCCCAGGTTTACCATCAAAACACTGTCACAGCCCTGTGACTTCATACAGTGACAGGACATACAGGGTTATCATGTATAATCCTTATGAGGTAGTCCATAGCTATCCTAGAAGGGGATTCTTTGGGGTGTTTGCTATAATAAAGACTGAATTGTAGTTAGCCCTAGCTTATCTAAATAGACAAGGTGGACTTTTAGGAAGGGCCGTTCAACCTTTTCTTCCTTTCTGAGGTGCAGAATTTAGGAAGGGATCCTCTAATTAGAAAGGAAAGAGTAGACAGTGAAGAGGAGCAAGCAGGACAGGAGAAAAAGCAGTAAGTGCAGTGCAAAGCTGTTCCCATGCAGGGCCCACAGTCCACTCAGGCTGTAGGGATTTCTTTTGGTCACTCTGAATGTCTCATTGCTGATCGCTACAACATCTCCAACCTGCTGGAGTGTCTGTCTAGCTCTCCAGACACTTCGCCCCACGTTCATGTGATAGCAGTAGAGGACGCATCTGGTGGGAGGGTTCACTGCAAAGCAGGATTTTTGGTGCAGGAGATGTTCATAGTTCTGTTTCTTGTCTTTAAATTTAGTCTTGATCTGAATTGAGCTGAAACCCACAGTTCTGAAATTTCATGTAAATGAGAAAGTCTAGAAACCCCTTTCATTTAGAAAGCTTCAGGTGTCAGAAGGTATTTCACCTTAGTGTATCTGCTCTGACATAAGTAGGATATTTGTCAGTTGTCAAGCATTGAGCTAAAGGCTGTCCTTTTTACTTGGAAGGGTAAATGGGGAATGTCATGGTTAATCTGCCTAAGGGAATACTGTAGGGACCTGCACATGAGGTTCAAACTAGGTAAACAACTTGTGGCCATCAAGTGGAGTCATGCAACTCCAATTCAGGTTTCTTTTTAAGTGTGTATATCTACAGCCAGGGTTCGGAGTCCTTGGACAGCTTTCAGTTCTCAGACCTAGACGAAGCTGTTGTACTGATGCAAAGGAAAGCTTTTCTCTGGCAGAGTCTGCTTGCTTGCGAGTCTTCAATCTCTTACTCACTCTGAAGATGTCACAATATAAAAGTAACATTTCTCTAAACTGGTTTCTCTGCTAAATACCTTTAACTTACCATCTAGATGTCTAGACACTGTATTATTTGAAAGTCAGCAAGCTGATTTTAAGGTGTACTGAAGTTTTCTTCATCTGAGCTAATCTTTCCTAGGGGAAAGTATTCCGGTAACAAAGACCCACTTACCCCAAGCTGATAACTTCAAACCCTGGAGAATGCACTGCGCAGAGGATTACAAAAAACATGTCCTCTTCTGTGGAACAGAGGTCATACAGACCAAAGCAGATGACAGAGGAGTAGTGAAAGCTGTGGTGCTGCGGACTGGTCAGTCAACACTTCAGTTTGCTTTTCCTTTCATGCTTTTTCTTACTGGAACAGTCTGACTTCATGTGCCCAGTCCCGTTAAGTTAAAAGCGTTAATCCAAATTCACAACAGTGAGATGGAGAATCAATATCCTGGGCTGAGCTAAGCTATTATGCATTGTTTCTGTTTGCTTGGCATAACTTTTACAAAAGCACTAGCATATAATTACAAAGAAGAATTTTGCTTTGTTTCTGAGACATTGAAACAGTCCTCCTCCTTAACACAAAAGTAACTTTTTTCTATATTCTGTGGAGTAGGTCATGTACACCGAAATGAAAGATCTAGGCCTTCTTTCTTGAGTTACAGAAATTATGAGTCATTTTAAAGCCTTCCATTCTCTGTAGAGAACTTTTGGAAATGTTTTTCCCCTTGGAATGATTTTAGTTTGACTTTCCAGGTTTCAATACAGCCAAAGGGGATCTGGTGAGGTCCATTCTGTACCCAAAACCCATGAACTTCAAGCTGTACAGAGATGCCCTCCGGTTCCTGATGTGCCTCATAGCATTTGCAGCCATTGGAATGATCTATGCAGTGTGTGTATTTGCACTTAATGGGGTGAGTTACTAAATGCAGGAGAAATGGTCACACCCATTTTCGAGAGACTTGAAACTTGAGTGGCTTCATATACATTTATATATAAAAATATGGTCCTTGTCACTCTCCTTTTTGCCTTAGTATATGAGGCCATTTTACAATGTAATTGAATTTGTGACAATGCACAGGCTCTCATACATTCAATTTCAAGGTCTCAAAACCCCACTGTTTCCCAGGTCATTTCTACTAAGGTCTTAGCAAATCCTACACAAGCACTGCATGTCTTATCAGCAGGCTTCTGTATGCAGACTGCCTCTGTTTGTGTGTTGCCTGCCCTGTGCTTGCTGGTACATGTAAATATCAATGCATGTAATTAGCATAACGCTTTCTAGAACGCTGAAAAATGGGAGATCCCAAGATCTTAGCACTCTGCAAGTACCTTTTATAGAGTTTTTGTAGCGTTTTTTGTACATTCCTAGAAAACTCACAAGTGAGTTATGGGTTAAATGGGACACACTGATGTGTCATTGTGAAAAGGCATCTTTCCACAAACTCCAGTTTAGATCAAAGACCCATCTATCTCTGTCTCTCCACTGACTCTGAGAGTTGTTGGGATCAAATGCTTATGAAAACTGGTTAGGAAGTAGGGCAAGTATAGAACAATTCTTCCCTGGTATAGTCTTCTAACTTCTTGAAGAGAAAGGTCTAACAGTTGAGTAAGTTGTCTTTTCTATCTAGATCATCTAGCTGTAATAGCCACTGAAAATCTCCCAGAGTGTGGTTTAATATATTTCTGAATTCATTTATGCCTTGGACTTGATGGCACTTGTGGCAATGATTCCCACAGTTTCATTATGTACTGCATAAAAATGCTTTTAAAGCTGCTGTCAAAATCACTAGGGGCACTGTAGGTTTTTGTTGTAGAGAAGTAGCAAATAGCTGCTTTCTATTTGATGTTTCCTGTACTATTCATGATTTAGAGATTGCTGGCCACCCCTTCAGCCACCTTCCTTCCATGTTACAGAGCCCTGAACAGTAGAGGTGCAAACACAGATCCCTGAAATTTACTGATGTTACAAAGAACTCCCCATTTTCTTCTGCCCTTTTTTTCATATTTTTTTGTATAGTCATTTGGTGGGGGGGGGGAATGGAAGGGAGATAACCTTCACTAAGTTATCACTCAGCTTAATATCCTTGAGAGCTTTTGGGAAAAACTTTTGCAAAGCCAACTGTCCTGTATCAGTTGAGTCACCCACATCTCCATTGATTTTTTCTGGACTTCTCCAGGAGGTTCTCTGATTTTTCTCCAGGAGGTTCACTGATGTTTTCTGGTTTTCCAGGTCTTCCGTCTGTGAAGACTGTGATAGCTCTTCTCTCATGTGCCATATACATCAAGGGTTGATTAATTTTGTATTATATTTTTAATCAAGTTTGTCAATATATAACTAAGACTTACTGTATCAGGAAGCAGCAAGGGCCAGCTATTCCCTAGGGGAAGGCAAGCCAGGAGCCAAGGGTGACCAGAGCACAGGTAATGCCCTCACTGACACAGTCACAGTGTATCTGAACATGGTGGGGGGAGCTGAATGCTGGTAACAGCCCATCAGTAGTCCCAGGCAAGGCAAAGTGGTAAATAATTCAGGCAGACCAGTCTGAAGCAGAGATGAGGACAAGAAACGAGGCTGCAACACAAACCTACAGGTGTCCATCCAGGAGACAGTGCTAGAGGCAGGTACACCTACAACATGGCTCAGACAGGGACTGAAGGCCCAGGCTTGAGCTTAAACGGAGCTCCTGAACCCATAACCAGGGGGTTGGGTGGAGGTGAGGCTAGTGAGGGTAATTAAGGCCTATTTGTGCACTTGCAGCCCTGCTACATTGGTCTGTAAATCTCTGGAGAGTTTGCCTGAAACCCTTTTAAGAACAGTTCACTCATTCTCATGCATCAAGAAAGTCAATGTAAGAAATAGTTGTACACTGTAAACAGTAGTTCTGCAATTTTTAAAGCCCAATTGCTTTAGAACTTCTTCAAAAACTTTCAAGAAATCATTTCATGCCTTGATAATTATCTGCCAATGTAAAGTCCAAGTCCTGAGTTGCAAGGTTGATTCTGCAATTCAGCTTTTGAATCATTTTTCTCCTTTGGAATAATCTACAATCAGTTGGCTCAGAAGATTAATTCCCCTCGGGATATCAAAGAAAGTATGTTTAAGAACATATCCTGGTGTCTACTTTGCAGTTTTTCCTTTTTTTTTTGGTTTAACTTCACCCTTGTAATATGTAAGATACATGCTGATGTTATCACAGCAGCTGAAACTGCCTTGTCAGACTGGTGTAAGATTCAGTCACATGATATACTAAGCGCTTTCTCTTCTGTGGCTGTCTTATCTAAAGGTGGTAAATGCTTCATTCTAATACAAAGTAGATACAAAATATTATCAAACTGGTGCCTTCTGTTGTCTGAAACAATATCAATGAAGGGAGAATGAGAACATGATGGAAATTCAGCACATCAAATGCAACATGATTTATGGTCCAAGTCCCAAGCTCAGAACTAGTAATAATAGAACTCTAATGATGGTTTGCAAATCCTTCTGAACTGCAGATTGGCTTTGGTTTGCAGTGCCTCAGTTCTGGGACCCCAGTTTGAAATGCATTCAATCCTTTGATTGATATCAATGATATCAACTGCCGAGAATAACAGTGCTGACATACAGCATACTGGCAGTCAGTTTTACACTGACCTCTAAGCTCCCAAATTAGAGATTGCTTTTAGAAATGCAACTTCTACTTCCATGTCTCCTCCTGCAGGTAAAAGCAATTTCCTTTCACAACTCCTAGAACATAAGGTCTGAAGAAATCATTAGCTCATGCATCCTGCCCTCCTTTTCGGCACCATCCCATATGTCTCACCTGTCACCCTAACATTGAGTCCAGAGCTATGCCTGTAGGCAGTTGGACGAATGCCCTTATAAATGGCAGATTCTTGTGAGCTGTGTCATGGGAAACCGGGCTTGACTGAGACTGCAGTAACCTAGCTGGCATGTTTGAACTCATGTGCTTTGGAGGAGACTCTAAGCTCTGCCTGGCAGGTTTGTTGGCATGGAGAATGAAGGAAGGCCTGGAGGCTGCTCTTTAGTAGTGGTGCAGCCTTAAAGCCTGTGGTTAAATCGAAGTAATTAATTTCTTAGGGAGATGAATACATGATGTACCATGGGCAGAAAACGCCACGGCCTGAAGCACCTGCAGTAGAGGGGAGGAGGATGAAGAGGGCTACATTCAGATAATCCAAGCAACACTGCTTGCTACCCTCTTGCTGATAAATGCCTTTGGTTTTATGTCAGGAGGAGGCAGGAGAAGTGGTGAAGAAGGCTTTGGATGTTATCACTATTGCTGTCCCCCCAGCTCTGCCAGCTGCCTTGACAACAGGGATCATTTATACTCAGCGGAGGCTGAAGAAAAAGGGCATCTTCTGCATCAGCCCACAGAGGATCAACATGTGTGGACAGCTGAACCTCATCTGCTTTGACAAAGTAACTGCTATGTGGTGATTACTCTCTTACTAGTAATGGGAGCCATGCCAGGGGTGGGAGAGTATGGGTTTTGATCAAGCATTTCCATTGTATTTTAGAAACACACTGACCAATCTTGTATACTTAAGTATGTGTTGTCTGAACAGACGCTGTTGCAGATTGTTGTTTTTCTTGGAATCCAGGAATTAGCTGATAGCACTTCTGCTCTGTACTGTGCTGGCATTTTCTGGACAGTAACTTCTTAAAATAAGTCTTGCTTTTTACTCCTCTTGGAGTTCTCATGTGGGAAGTTAATTTAGATGTACATTTTAACTTAGACTGGCACCTTAACAGAAGATGGCCTGGATCTTTGGGGCTTGCTGCCCTCTGAAAGAAACTGGTAAGGCTCCTTGACACACCAATGGCATTTATATTTGGTGGGATAGTGACTGAATTCTCCTCCTAGACATATGAACAAAACTGAACTTTTTTCTCTGTAGTCTCTAGAAAATGAGTTTGTTGCCTTATCCCAGGGGTCCTGCTCCACATGAAATGATGCAGCCACTGTTGTCAGTATTTGGCACAGCATGTCCAAGAAGCATAGTCTGCAGCAGACATGCTAGGTTAAATCTCAAAGCTGCAGTGGTGCCTAACCCTTTATGATGTGAAGTCACTGTTACCCATGAGATTGCCACTCAGACCCTCAGTGCCCATGTTTTTGCCCATTTACATTTCCAGAAGTGTGCATGCACAAAAATGCTCAAACTTATATCAGCTTCATAGCTCAAGAGTCCTTACACAAGCCACAAGGAAGATATATTATCATAATCTGTTCTCTGTCCATCCCAATGGATTCCTTAATTTTGCAGAATACACCTATTCTGAGCATGTGTATCCCAGCCTTTAAAAGGCACATGAGAAGTAGCTTGGGGAGGGGAGGGGAGGGCAGGGCAGGGAGGTCAAGTCCCCAGAAACGTGCTTGTGGTCTGACCACAGGATAGGACTTTAACAGCCCCCTGACCTAGGATTTTTTTTTTGTTAGTTATATGTTGTTTGTTGTTCTCTGACCATAATTTTTGCATTAGCTTCCAGGACATTCACAGCTTCCCTGCGGACCACAGCCTGCCTTGGGGCCCAGTGTTCAGAGCAATGGCGGTTTGTCATTCGCTAATTGTTTGGCAGGGCAAGATCCAAGGAGACCCACTGGATGTGAAAATGTTTGAGGCCACTAACTGGGTAAAGCTGTGCTTTGTTGCTGTGCAAATAGTGGTGGGAAGTTTTGGTGCTCTTACAAAGGAGAAATGTCCCAAGCCCTTCAATGCAAATAGCTACTTCCAACACAGAAGTAAAACAGGTAAAACCCAGAAGAAATACCACATGCTCAGGATTTTGGAGAAATGTTTCTTGTTTCTACCTAGAGCTTTCACCTAGGGGTACTTTAAGTACTTAGCTCTTTTGACTGGAAGTGGTGGATATCATACAAATCCCACTGGGGTATCAGCTCTGACTGTGGCTGCTGCCAGATAACAGGAAGTCCCAAATGTGACTTATATGCAGATTAAGACTGCTTTTACAGAGCATATAACAGACTTCTGCAAGCTTTGAACTAGATACAAGATTTCAAACTTTGTTAGAGCTCTGTCAATGTGGAGATATTTCTACCATCTTCAGGTTTGAAATCCCAGGCTGCTATGAAAGCACTGCTTTCAGTCTCTGTCCCATTACGTACAAACAGTCATCGGTGTTGCCATTTACTCTCTGATAGTTGCAGGGAGGGGAAGGGGAATGAGCATTTATGAAAACTAAAAGGCTGCAAATCTGAGATGGATAAGAGGAAAGCAGCCCATAATTACCTGGTGAAAGGTACAGCCACAAGCCATTAATGATGCAAGATAAGAGATTCAGGATAGGATTAGCTAGTTATGTGGGTGAACATCGGTACTTAACACCTGTCTGTTTTGTATCTGCAAAATATGTAAAAAAGACAAGTTTCAAGGAATAAACTATCCAGTAATATAGGAATTAGAGGATGTTTTTCCCCAGGAGCATCACATTGTCATCTTCACCTTAGGCAGACATCCATTGAAGTTTTAAATTAAACAGGAATAATCCTGTTAAATAATTCCTGTGAAACATTAATAATCATGTGCCCTTTGACACCATAAAATATTTTTGTTCTTCACAGTCATGTTGTGACAATTAAAAAACCCAGCTGATATGTGGAGTACTTGAAGAGCAGAGGATGCTGCTTTTTACATTAATACAAACACTTATTAATTATTTTCCCATTTGGTCTATGCTATAGCTAAAGATTTTTGCATATTTAAGTGGGTTGTCATGAATAAACAATTTATTTTCAGTGAGGGGACATAATCTATTTGCTGTGCAAGAGTACAGCATATCTTGGTGAAGCTCTGGATTTCATTGCCAAGGGAGGAAGTGGGTTTTCCATGACTGGAGCGTTTTAGAGTGAGATCAGAGAGACCGTCCTCAGGAATAAATAGGATACCTTGTTTTGAGAGAAGGAAAAGCTCTAAATGATTCCTTGACATTCCTTTCAGCTCTACTGGTGCTGGGATCTGAAAGATTTTTCTTTCAATACACAGGTGATAGATGATTCCAGTGGACACCAGATTGAAGGTCAAGGATCCACACATGCCACAATTGTTAGACCCGGGCCTAAAGCCAGCAGTGTAAGCTATCTGCAAGGTTCACATTCCTGATCAAGTTAAACTGTCAGTGTAAGAGTTACCTTTGAGTAGAGAAATGTTTGGTTGTCCTAGTCCAAGACAGCTCTTCCACACTTTGTCTTTCTTGTACCGCCTGCAGAGATTGCCTTGCTCTCGCTAATTAAAAAGAGATGCCTAGGCGAGCTTGCTGCTCACACCAGAAGCAGGAGGATGCTGGATGACAGATTGTCCAGCTCAACAATTTGCCTCTTCTGGTGGCTTGACACTCAATCGAAACTCAGCTGAGTAGTGAAGATCTCTTAACAGCACTTGGGTCTGCAGTGGAGTCTGGTAGTTGATGTCAGACCGTTACTGGTGACATACACCAAGGAGGCACTTTCAGACATCCATTTTCCCTTTGCAAAACCAGTGTAAGACCTAGCAAAGTCCTGTTAAAGAAACAGGACTGGTGAGTTCCTTTCAGTATATGACATCTAACAGTCTGCTGAAACTGTCAGTGAAGTTTTCCTACCGCTTAAGCCAAATATTTCTCTACAAATTTCTCTTCTTTATGTATCAGTCCTTTCTGTCCCACTGTGACAAATTAGCCCCTTGTACATGGTTAGCTTCTTACCATGGCCCAAAGGAGAGACCTAAAATCCTTTGGCCTGAGTTTAAAATCCTTGCTGCAGTATCTAATCCACTTTCTTTTCTCCTAGGCCCCGGTGGAAGGAATTACCATTTTACATCAGTTTCCATTTTCTTCAGCTTTGCAGAGAATGTCTGTCATTGCCCAGGAAATTGGTGGGGAACAGCAGGTCTTCACAAAAGGGGCTCCAGAAATGGTAGCCATGTTATGTAGAGCAGAAACAGGTAACTAACATTTATAAATGCTTCCTAGAAACGTGTGTATAAGTGACTTTTGATGGTGCAGTGAAGAGGAAGGTCCAGATGAGGTTTCTGGGTCTAAGACTTTATCCTTCAGCCTAACAAGTTAGGGTCTTTCTGTTGTGCTCCAAGTCTAAGGCTAAGCTCTCACACAGGCCTTCTCTGCAAAGAAGGACTGCTAAGGGATGAAAGCAAGTACCAACTCTTGTACAAGGTGTACCATCTCTGCCAGAATAGATACCTGAAAAAGTTCTCTACTGGTCCAGTATACACCAAAAAAAGTTTTCATTTTTCTCCAAGCCTTGGGAGGGTGGCTAGAAGAGCACAGCTCCTTCATGACACACTGGAAGAGGTAAGACTTTGCAAAATAGCTTAGGGTACTAAGTGCAAAGTGGCAGATCAATGATTTTCTTATTGAGCAAAGTTCAGTTCAGCAGCTTTCCTTCATGTCCTTGGTCTATTGGTAGACTGTAGGTGTACCTGCCCTCTGGGATAGGAACCTTCTCTGCTGCAAGGCTTCCTTTTATTAGAAAGCAGTCAAATGGCCTGATGAACTGTCTTTTCCCCTTTTGCACAGTCCCATCAAACTTTGAAAGCAAGCTTCTGCTCTACACAGCACAGGGCTTTAGGGTCATCGGACTGGCATGTAAATCTCTACAGGCGGGGAAGCAATCTACTGATCTAACAAGGTAAGCCATAGACTGCTTCTTAGCAGCCACATTCAGCCATGGGCTAGTGGTGTCTCACATAGTACCATTACCACAACACCCCTGCCAAAAGCAGGGCTGTAGTACAGAGTTTTCTTGGATTTAGGCCAGAGGGAATCTGATTTAAACCTGGATGAGAATGGGTAAAGGGCACTTCACTGCCCTATGCTTATAGCACATGCCCAGAATCCTTACACAAATCTTAACAGTGGATCAACACAGGAAGTATGACTGTAGTACGCTCTAAAGGCTAGTACACCCCTCTCTCACTTCCTCATTTCTACCAATCTTATTGCAGATTTATCCAGGCTTTTAGCTGAAGAGAAGTCTTTTGTTTGTTTGTTTGTTTTTGTTATCCCGGCTCCTTGATTAAGCAAAGGCAGCAGATTACCCCTATTACTGTTTTCTAGCCCAGTGAAAGTCAGCAGAGTTTGGCTTCTGTCTCAGTCTGATCCTTTAGCTTTCTAGCTTTAGCTTTCTTTAGTTTCTAGAGAAGCCGGAAAACTCTTTTGGTATGCTCGTGGTATTAGTTTTCCACAAGCCTCACACAAAAACACCTACACCTGAATCCATATACTTTTACCCAAATCCCTCTAGCTTTTGCCTGTGATAATCCAGAAACATCACTTCTGAAACATTGGAGGTTGCTTAGCATCTGCTCTCCTCTCTGCTTACTAGCTGCAGGTCCTAATTCAGATGGGGCTCACTTGCTCTTTTACAGTGCTTTTTGCTTTGCTAAAAGGGCCAGTGACACTGGGGCAAAGTGCAAGTGGTTTGTTTAACTCTTGTGACAGGTGTCATAACAGACCTATCCGACCCAATGAGCAAGTGTGTGTGATATGTCCTGGATTTTGCAGTTGTGTGTGCAGTTATAGCATACGTGATGTATATACTACCAGGAGAAAAAAAGAAAACTGGAGGTCAAACACAAGATCTGCTGTGAAAGCAGTGACTATTCTGGCACCACCTGACTCAGCTACTCTGACTGCAATACAAGTGTTTGGCATCACCTCCTTCTTACTACCATGGCTAAAATAAGTGTTTGAAAGCTTTAATTTTTTTTAAGACTCTTCAGAGTCAACCTCTCTCCCTGAGAGACCTCTAGTTTATGACTCAGGGATGGGATTGTTTACTAAATTCTGTTCTGTTCTCAACTGCATGTGTTCGACTATAAAACAGGCAATAGCACAGGTGTAAAGAAAAGAGTCGGAGAGAACAGAATTGGAGGTCTCCCGTGCTGTTTGCTCAGGTCCTACTTTCAAGAGTAGCAGATAGGTTTACTAAGGTGTGCTTGTTGTACAGTCCTCAAATGAGAAGGTCTAGTGTGCGTGAACTTTCCAAATCAGACCACCACAGTTTGGGAATCCTGCAGGAAATTCAGGGTGCTTTTTCATGCTGGCTAAGGATGGTGTATGAATGGAAAACGGTCCAACTTATCCATCAGGCTTCATATTCATATGTTGAGCAGGTAGGTTGAAATTGGCTCTTTTTTGATTTGGTAATTAAGCAAACATGAGCTGGGAGCTGGCTATGTACTGAACTCATTCTTCAGAACAAGAAGAGAAGAGAAGAATGAAAAATCAAGTGAAGGTCTTCCATACACAACCAGCACCGCTTGCCAGCGGGAAGTAAGCCCTGCTGGTATTGAAATAGCATCACAAAAGACAGACAGCCTGGGACTGCTGAAAACTAACAAGTTATTTTAATTCTTTTGAGTTAGGTGGGATGGTTAACAGTTATAACTGGCTATCAGCAAATACAATGCATACAATACAATGCAAAATCAGGCCAAAGGCAAAAAGAAGAATTAAAACTGTCTGTCTGTTCTTTACTCTTAGGGAGGAGGTAGAATCTGATCTGACATTCCTGGGTCTGCTGATAATGGAGAATCGATTAAAGAGGGAAACAAAGCCTGTCCTGGAAGAGCTCACTGCTGCCCATATCAGGAGTGTTATGGTCACAGGTATCTAAAAAGGGTAGATTATTTATGTGGCCACTGGCCCAGACAGGGAGTTGAATGAGGTTTGAGTGAACAGTCTGCTGCTTTGTCACCACCTCTGTTAGGAAGATGCGTTTGTATCTTTCAGACAATTGCAGTCCAAGAAGCATCTGTGTTGTGATAATGATGTGAGCTGAACCG